TTTTAGAAATTCTTTTGCTTCTAAGTAGAGAAGTCATCTGAGTCCTGTAAGACTTTCAAGAGAAAAATACAGGTCCCATTATCTGCTATTTTTATTAGAAAATATTTTAGAGCAACTCAAGAATTCAAAACCTTTTATTTAAAACCATTAAAATTAGGGTCTCTCTCTCTCTCTCTGTCTCTGTTAGCTGATTTCATCACAGCTTTGGGTAGAATGATAAGTTTCATTCTTAATTTAGTGATGAAGCAACAGAATCTTCTTTGCACTGTATTTCTACTGTCAGTTGTCACTGGCAGCCATGTGGGTCTACTTTTGCCTGGGTCCAGTATGCTTTTGTGTTCCCAGAGCTGCACCAGCACTATCCACAGATGACTTTATATTGATCTTGTACCAGTGTGACCCTTATCCCCAGTCACACAAGCCCACTTTACAATAAGTTTTGGATTTTATGATCCAATGCATGTTTGAATGTTACTTTGTTATAAGGATTTGCAATGTGATTCTGATGACATACTGTATTTCCATCCTTCCTGGATGCTAGTAAAACTATGTCTTCATTTTTTTCTGATTTTTTTTAGTAATAAAAAACTGTTTTGTTTTGTTTTCTTTGCAGTGCCATTGATAATAGTAAACTCAATTGCGATTATATTACTTTTACTATTTGGGTGAAGATCAATGGGGGAAATGGAGACTCAGGAGAAGAGCTGCCAGCAGAAGTTATTACTTCAGTCTTTATTGGAACATACGTATCTTAGCTGGCTGACCTTGGACTTGACAAAAAAACCAGAGTCTGCCAATAAAACCAGAGTCCCTATTTATCTGATTTTTTTAAATGTTGCACTTATAGTTTTATTGCAAAAAGATCAGATCATCAGAAGCCAGATTGAAATACATTTGATTGCTGACTGCTGATAAAAGTTCATGCTATGGTAAAGATTGTTAAAAGGGTGCAGGACTGTCACTTCTGTATTTTTAGAGGTTTCTTTCTTTGACTTCTCAGGGATGAATTTTTTTTTCAAAGTTCCTTGTGTCTTAGCTATGATGTAAGAATGATTATCCTCCTAGATAAAATTTAAAGGATTTTTAAAATATAAAATGTTAGATAGGAAATTTGGATTATTTTATTTTGAACTCTTTGGTTAAATATTTTGTCTGTATACTGTCTCAGCTATGAAAAATTCAAATTCATAGTAACTATTGAAGAGCAATACTCTGATTTCTGGGAGAATTCTAACTTTGTAAGTCGGTTAGTCACATGATGATTGTGTTTTTAAGTTTTAAGTTCTTTTCATGCGTTTGTTATTTTATTAATTGGCCTGAATGATGAGACCAGGTCAGTATCTACATATTTCCATAGGTAAAAAAAAAATCTGTATAGAAAAGTCTATGCCCTTTTTAACAATGACTTATTTTTTAAAATCAGCATAAATAGCAGCCTGCAGGAGCAATCCTAAACAATCACCATTAAACCATACTACGTAAGAAGACTTTATTGTGAAGTGTTTACCTCCCCAAGTTATCACGTTTCCGTTTCTCGGAGGAGCACATTAAGGGGTGTGATTTGTAATTCTTCATTCTGTCAGTCAGTAGAGCATTCATGGTGGATAAATTGTCTTTTGTTTTTTTATGTCTTAGACCATCCCATATTTGCTTATCCCATAATACTGTTTTATGCAGAAAGATTAAAACAATGTAAATGATTTTTCTGGGAAGTATTAGTTATAATATTTTAAAGGGGGTGGAATGGAATCTTTGTCTATAGGAGAACATTTGTAAATAAAGTTCAATTTCCAAGTCAAACACTTGTTTTTGTACTTCAGTATATAACCTGTCTGTTAATTAATTTCATTTTGTGTGCAACACTTATATATGTTCTTTGCTGTAAAATCATTGAGCACAGATTTAATGAAAGTAAACATTCACATTCCTTTTTTTTTTTCTTCAATGAATTAACAGAATTGCTGACATATATCAGGAAGACTCGCGAGCAATTTTGATTCTATGACTTAAGTTACTTCTAAAACTTTGGAGCAGGTATTGGATGCCTACTGGCCACGCCTGAGCTGGAGATGGAAGAGCGGAAGATCTCTGAGCAGGGGGGCCTTGCAGCTGAACCAAAGAAATGTATCAGGGATCCTAAGTTGATTACTTGGCTCATGGGAGTAACTAATGTATTTGGCACTTAAAGGCAATGTTCTTTTGGCCTTAGAAGGATCTGATGCACAAGTTCAAGTTTAAGCTGCTGAACAGATTGAAAAGTAGCAGTTAGTTGAGGGCACTCCTGTTTCTCCACAGGCAGTGAGCCATATAGAATTTTAAAAAGAAAGAAAAGAGAGACCTTGGCCTGATACCATTTTCATTAAGACATTACAACACACCTTTATATTCATTAATTGTCGGAATACTGTCCAAGTCCACACTCCAATTGAGAGCAGTCATATTAGGGCAGGATCAGTTTTCTGTAGCAAAGTGGTTCTGAGGAAAGTGCAGCATGGACATCAAAATATTTCATCTCTAAAGGACTCTTACACAGTTCTAGCTTTACTGTGCCTGAAGACAGGTCTGTAAGCTTTCACAGGTTAACCCTGGTTTATCCAGAGAAGTTGCAATTCAGTAACGATAGCATCTTGTTTTAGTAGATAGTAACTTAAGTGCCTGCCTGCCTGCCAACATCTTTCCCCTTAGCCATTATCAGGATTAACAATTTGTGATTATTCTGGACTCCAAATATCTGTGGTGTTAATGGTCCTGTGTATTCTGACCCTGTGTCTGTATGCCTATGACCTGTGGTGAAGGCTCTTGGCTGTAGTGTGTACAAACTCAAATTCATACCCTAGTCCTTAATCAAGTACAGTGGTTTTCAAACTTTGATTGTTAACAGAACTGGATTTTCAAAAGAATAGTAACATAGAAGTGTAATCATCCGATATCTAAAATAGATGGGAGCAGGTCGATATATCAGTTGAAGCGGGAATGGGACCCATAGGCCCACTGTTCAGCCTCCACCTCACTCTTAACAAGCTTCCTAAGGCACTTCCACGAAACCCTAAGCTTTCAAAAACATGGTTATGAAGTATCTTTTTTAAAAAAATCCTTGCTTTAGGTAGAGTAGGCACGGTGATCTGTGCTCTATAGATATTTGCAATCACTTGTGTGTATATGTGTGTGTACTCATGAAATGACCTGAGACAAAGCAATACATCTGAGTAAAATAGGAGGCAGGATATTGCTAGTATGCTAGCCAGAACCTTTTATCATATGACTTAAATAAACTTCTTAAGACCTCAGTTGTTTTTGGTTCCTTCCTCTGTAAAATTAGTCAATAACTGTTTTAGAAGAGAAGTCTGCTCCAGATTATACATATATATATATATATATATATATATATATATATATAATTTCCAGGTCACTGACCTTTGATCCTAGATCAAAGAGATGTTCTTCTGAAGTAAAATGTTTTTGGTGAAATAAATTACTTTCTTACTGACAGCTTCAAAGTTATTACCAATAATAAAATTTTGATACCAACCAAAATGGAAATCTTTTTTGCTAAAATTTTCCTTGGCCCCTGATTGGTCATTAGATGTCAGATATAGTGAAAACATCTGTGCAAGGACCTGGGACACACAGTGGGCAGTGTCCACCGATACTAATGATCAAGGTAAGTTATGGAATTCTACTCTTTTTGTTTTAGTTCTGATACTGTTTTCTGTACACCTCCCCTCCTCCTCTGGGTTCTTTTATTTATTTATTTACTTATTTATTTATTTATCCTCTGGGTTCTTTAACCCATCTTTTTCTTTCTCAAGTTCTCCTTCTGAGGTCCCATCCCATCTTTACTCATTTTGCCCTTTGGCAGGCAAAGCCATTTGAGTCTTTTGGTAAGGAGGAAGCCATTAGTCATGTTCCATCATTCCACATCACAGTGAATGACACCATACTACCCAACTGCCCAAACCTGGAACCTAATAATTATCTTGATGCCTTCCTCTCCCTTACCCTGAATCTAATTTACCACCAATTTCTCTTACCTCCTAAAGATTTCTTAAATTTGTTTTGTTTGCTTTGTTTCCACACTTTTTAGTTTAAGCATCTCTCTGTGGCCCTGCAATAGATTCTTATCTGGTCTCACACACATTTTCGCACCTCTCCCATCTGTTCTCCATATTGCAGCCAGAGTAAACATTTAGAAAAATGCATGTCTTAATATTACCCACCTTCGGTGGTGTTTTAATCTGGTCAAAAACAGCTCCTAATTCTGAAGGGGAAACTAGGATCAGTTTCCGTTTCCTTCAACCAAGTAGGCCCTCAAACAGAAAACTTAGACTTAGTAAATATAAGACGAAAACAACCTCCAGACCCAGTGAGGAGGAAAAGCAAAGGGTCCCTAGTCCAGGGAACAGGAAGTGTTATAGCTTACAACATGGCTGACTGCAGCAGCGGGCAGAGGGGATGTTGGTAAATGAGTCCCCAGTCAAGGGCAGATCAGCAGTTTTGTCAAGGGGTTCCATAGGTGTAAACTAGAGCCTGTATTCTATTATGTCAGACTGCTCCTGAAAGCTTTTCATTTCGTCATTTTCATATAGAGTGCATAGGATGACCGTCTCTGCACTCAAGGGGTTTAATTTATTTGGATCAAAGGGAGACAAGTGGAGACTCCCAACATGGGTGTGGGAAGGGAGCAGTGAGGGAGGTGGTTCTATGTATCCCAAGATATTGCTCCCCTAGGGATAACAGGCAAGACCTGTGGTAGCTGTCTGTCAAGGTAGGAAACCTGACAGCGTAAAGTTTTGGAATAGCTGATGCAAGAAAAGAGGGACACTGCTGCCAGTGGTAGTGGTTAATAAAAGACAGCAATAAGTGCCAGATGCTGTTCAAGTAGGAAAGCAGGAAATGACTTCAGAGATTGGGTGTTTCAAGGGAAGTATCAAGGAGATGACTTCTGAGATAGCCCTCGAGAATGGGTGAGACGTGTAAGGGAGAACAAACCTGACTCCATATTGGATCTGTTCCTTTAATCTTTAATCTGTGTGCTCTGTTGTCTGTTCTTAGTTATGGTGACTCTGCACCTTTGTAAAGGAATGTTGCCCACAGCCTGAAATACAGCCCATTCTCAAGGCTCTGCCTCCCAGGCTCATCCTTTAAAGCAGGGGTCCTGGTCCTTGGCCTGTCAGGGAGCGGGCTGCACAGCAGGAGGTGAGCGGTGGGCGAACGAGCGAAGCTTCATGTGCCTCTCCCCATCGCGTGCACTACCGCCTGAACCAGTCCCCCGCCACCCTGTCGGTGGAAAAACTGTCTTCCACGAAACTGGGTCCCTGGTGCCAAAAAGGTTGGAGACCGCTGCTTTAAAGGTGTCATACTTTTCATTCCTGTAAAGATAAAAAGTTGCAGAACAGAGGATAACATCTGTCTTCTTGAAGGTTGACAGGAACATGGTGACCTGACTTAAGTGGACAGCTAAAAGAACAAAGGATTATCACATCCCCTCTGGGGTCTGGCTGGCACCAAGAAGTCTGCAACAACCAGCCACACCACCCTCCTTTCAGTGTAAAATAAGCCTTGAATTACAACTCAGACGGGTCTTTGGGACACCAGTCTGCCACCTTCTCAGTCTGCTGGCTTTCCAAATAAAGTCACCGTTCCTTGCCCCAATACCTCTTTTTGCCCTGTTGTGAGGACTGGAAAACAGAAGTGGTGGAGTGCGCAAGGGTGGCGGCAAAGAAAAGTAATAATACTTGGTCTGACAACACTGCAGTGGAATGAGAAACTGGTACTGAGCAAAGGCAAAAGTTTTTGTTTTTCCTGCTGCAACCAGGCCCAGTAGGCCCCGCCCTTGAGGGAGCAGGTCTCAATAATAACTTACCGTTCTGTTAACACGGTGAGGAAGCAGCAGTACTAGACCCCGTAGTTGGTCTTCGAAACCGGAAAGTAGCCCTGGACGGATGGGGCGGAGACATGTGCGGAGAGGCGGGACTTCCGGCACGGCCCTTGGGCCAGTTTCCGGCGTCCTCAGGCAGCCGCCCCGGCGCCTTTTTCCCCGCCCAGGATACTGCGCAGCGGAGCTTCTCTGCTGGCTTCTTTGCTAGCAGGGCGTTTGCCTTTGCCGAGGACGGCGTGCGGAGCCCGGTGAGGAGCCGCACTGGGACAGGCGAGCGCCCGCCTGTCTGGAGGCTACATTACTTTGTGAGTTGGCTGGGGACACACCGGTTGGGTTTCTAGGCCACCACCCTCCTGGGGCCCGGACCAACCGGGCGCTCGCTCTGTGAGGATTGCCCACCCCTCGCGGCCTTCGGCGCGGCGCCACCACGCGTGCGCGGCGCGGGGCGAGCCGCACTTCCGCCAGGTCTCGCGTGCGCGGGGCGGATGGTGGCTGTGGGGTGTTAGTCCTTCCCCCTAACGTGCCCCTGAGCTGTATTTCGAAGCCGGCGTCCCTTCGGGTCAGTCTGGCGTTTGCCAGGTGCTGGAACTTGCGATGGGGGAGGGTGCGTGACCAGTCTTGAGGCCCTTTCCCACCCGGGAGAAGGAGGGGATTGCAGTTGAGTTAGTGCTGAAAGAGCCTTGTTCGTGGAATCCTTCCAGTTATGGAGGCCGGGATTCATGAGTTTAGCTAATTAAAAACTCTTTATTGAGCGATCAGTAGTAGTACAGGGGGAAAGGCAACAGCCCTTTGACTCACAGGGCTCCACGGATGGAACAGAGTGAGGAGTGTACTAATGGAGCACGCTGGGGGGTCCTGGCCCAGCCTTGGGAGAAAAGGAGTTGGGACTCAGGAAAAACAGGAAGTGATATTTGTCTGAGACCCAGGGACTGAAGGAATTGGTCAGGGAAGGGAGGATGTAAGCGACAGGGGTGGTAGAATTCAGGGAGCAAAAAGGTTTCGGACAAAAGTCCAGCGATGAGGGAGGTAACGTACAGGACTGGTGGGCGACTGCAGTGCCATTGAACTTTGGTGCAGGAGTAGACACAAACGAGTTGGAGAGGTAAACCAGGGCTCTGGACACCAGTGTACATTGTTCATATTTTATCCTGGGCGCAGTGGGGAGTGACTGCATAATAACATTTGTTGAGTGAGTGCATGCAGTGTGGTTCCCGACTTTTTCACTGGAAGCATATGGGGAAGAAAAAAGAATTTGTACTCTCCAGGGGGTGAGTATAAATATGTCCAGAGACATATTGAGAAGAGCCCCAGCCTCCCAGGAGAAAATTTATATTGAAATCTGTTTTAAATATTTATGTACGTTCTTAATGACAGTATACCTTATTTTGGTATAAAATGTTTTCCCATATTCTCAGATTATACTAATGCTTTAGAACTGTATCATATTTATCCTGTGATTTTTGTAGCCCTAGACACATCCATCATGTCCCCCCTGCCAGCACACACACACCCACCCCCAATACGCATATATGACCTATAACCCAGCCTTTCTATTTGTGGAACACTGTTCACAATATATGTATTACTTCCTTTAATCTTCCAATCAACCATTAGAGGTGTTATTCTTTCTACTTTAGAAATGAAGAAACTCAGGCTGAGATGTTAAGAAAATTGCCCACGTGCACACAGCTAGTGAGTACAAATCCAGGCATGTACAACTCCTTAGTTCTTGTACTTAACCACTGCACTGTTGCATTTCAAAAAATGGATTTGGAGCTAGAAATAGGGAGAAGAGTCGAAGCAGAGAGGACATTTAGGAAGTTGTTGAAATAGGCTAGATGAGAGATGATGATTTCAAAACTAAGATAGTTTTAGTAACAGTGAAGAGAAGTGAGTGGATTCAGGACTGTACAGGAGGTAGCACTGACATGATTTGATTTGGCCCTTGACTGGTTGGGAAGAAGGCTTGGGAGAGTGGTGGGTACATCTACATTGATGGTGCTGCCATTCGCTCAATAAGGATTGCAGGATGAAGAGCAGCTTAGAGGGTAACAAGGACTTGGATTGAGATGCCCCTGGAATATTCAAGGGGAGATGTCCTCTGAAGTATCTTCAAGAGTTCCTTTTGGGAGGAGAGAGAATTTACTTTTCTTCTTTGCATTGAATATGTACCAATATCAATTGTTTATGACTTTCTAAAGTATATCCCACATAGCTTGTTCAAGCCATGCGAGATGGTGGGACGTGGACTCAATATAAACAAACATGGACCAGCTTTGAAGCCTTTTCAGTTTTCTGGGGTGATACTAATAGTTTACAATTACAGTTTATCAAGTACTGACTTGTAGTTCCGGTAACAAGTATTGTAAAGATTTAGACAAGAAAAGAGATCATGGCAGAAGTGGTAGAGGCCTGTAGTGGGGCTAACTGAAGAAGTATATTTTGAGGTTTGAGTGGTACACCTCAGTTATGTTCTTATAGGCCTCAATCACTCTCAGATAAGCTCTATAAGAGCATTTTAGAGTTTAAAAGGTGTGTTCTATGGAACTGATGAAAGCGCTTTGGTAACATTAAGTCTATGTGGACCCTTCAATAAAGATTAGAATTATCAATATTTTTATGACCATTTAGTGGTTCTGGTTGGACAGTTTTTTCTTTTTTTGAACAGTACAATTCTTTTGTTGTTTTTCTAGCCTTGTTCATATTTCATTCTTTAATCACCTTTGGAGTTAACTTTTTTCTGGCGGGGCCGCACGGCTTTCGGGATCTTAGTTCCCGGACCAGGGATCGAACCCAGGCCCCAGCAGTGAAAGCACCGAGTCCCAACAACTGGACCGCTAGGGAATTCCGAACGGAGTTCACATTTTTTTTTTTTTTTTTTTTTAACATTTTTTTATTGAATATTAGGTGCCTCTCATAAAACTTGGGTTTTGAGAGAAGAAATTTTAGGGCTTTCTGTATGTAAAAAGAGAATGCTTTGTCTACATTTTGCATAGCCTTACCTTTTGTGGTGCAATGTATTTTAAATTAAAGAATCCTTTGTCACACATCCAAATAGAGTCGCTAGCAACCGTCTAGTCTTTTGAGTAACAAACTGTTTCCCCTCTCAGGCAGGTAATAGTTGATGCTATTGTTGATGTAATCCTCCATTTCAAGGTCATAGTAAAGATCAGAAATCGAATAACATATGAGGACTGTTATAAAAGAAAAGATTTTGCAGTGGAATCTTGATTAACCAGAGCTCTTAATATCTTTTTTTTTTTTTTTTTTTTTTTGCCTCTGCACTCTACCCCCATCCCCCGGCAGATTCATTATAAAAGGCAAACAGAACCAGGGATTTATTTTAAAATCAAAATACTTGATGAGGGTTATACTGATGCATAATGATTGGACTAATTTAGTTTTTTATAAAATTAAATATATGAGAAATGACTGACTAAAACATAACAAGACTAATTTTTATTGTGAAATATGTAATCCACACAAGAGTATGCAAAACATATGTAAGTTTTAAATAATTATAATAAAAAACGCCTGTGCACCTACTGTCTAGGTCAAGAAGACCTTAGAGGCATCCTTGTGCTCCTCCTGGCTTGTATCTCCTCCCCATCGCCTGGAGGAATCACTATCCTCACTCCTGTGTTAATCATTCCCTTTCTTCTCTTTCCAGTTTTATCACCTATGTGTGCTATAATATGGAACCATATGGTATGTAGTCTTTTGTGACTTGATTCTTTCACTCTGTAGAAGAACATTACCTAGGATGATGTAACTGTAGATCATTCATTTCCACTGCCTTTCACATGTTGTGTATGAGTATACCACAATTTACTTGTCCATTCTTCTGCTGATAGACATTTGTATTGTTTCCAGTTCTGGCTTTTACAAACAGTGCTGCTTTGGACATTTTCGTTTGTATTTAATGGTAGAGTATGAAAGACTCTCTCAAGGATATAATACCTGGGAGTGGAACTGCTGGGTTATAGAGCCTAGTGATTCCAAACCAGTTTCCAAAATGATTGTACTGTTTTATTGTCTCACTAGCAGTATAAGGGAGTTGCCTTTTTTTTTTTTAACATCTTTATTGGAGTATAATTGCTTTATAATGTTGTATTAGTTTCTGCTGTATAACAAAGTGAATCAGCTATACGTATACATATATCCCCACATCCCCTCCCTCTTGCGTCTCCTTCCCACCCTCCCTATCCCACCCCTCTAGGTTGTCACAAAACAGAGCCCTGATCTCCCTGTGCTATGCGGCTGCTTCCCACTAGCTATCTATTTTATATTTTGTAGTGTATATATGTCCATGCCACTCTCTCACTTCATCCCAGCTTCCCCTTCCCCGTATCCTCAAGTCCATTCTCTACGTCTGTGTCTTTATTCCTGTCCTGTCCCTAGGTTCTTCAGAACCTTTTTTTTTTTTTAATTTTTATTTATTTATTTTTGGCTGCATTGGGTCTTCGTTGCTGCATGGGGGCTTTCTCTAGTTGTGGTGAGCGGGGGCTACTCTTCATTGCGGTGCTCGGGCTTCTTATTGCGGTGGCTTCTCATTGCAGAGCACAGGCTCTAGGTGCGCGGGCTCAGTAGTTGTGGTGCACGGGCTTAGTTCCTCCACGGCATGTGGGATCTTCCCGGACCAGGGCTTGAACCCATGTCCCCTGCAGTAGCAGGTGGATTCTTAACCAGTGCGCCACCAGGGAAGCCCCAGAACCATTTTTTCTTTTTTAGATTCCATATATATGTGTTAGCATATGGTATTTATTTTTCTCTTTCTGGCTTACTTCACTCTCTATGACAGACTCTAGGTCCATCCACCTCACTACAAATAACTCAATTTCGTTTCTGTTTATGGCTGAGTAATATTCCATTGTATATATGTGCCACATCTTCTTTATCTATTCATCTGTTGATGGACACTTAGGCTGCTTCCTGGCTATTGTAAATAGAGCTGCAATGAATATTGTGGTACGTGACTCTTTTTGAATTATGGTTTTCTCAGGGTATATGCCCAGTAGTGGGATTGCTGGGTCATATGGCAGTTCTATTTTTAGTTTTTTAAGGAACCTCCATACTGTTCTCCATAGTGGCTGTATCAATTTACATTCCCACCAGCAGTGCAAGAGGATTCCCTTTTCTCCACACCCTCTCCAGCATTTATTGTTTGTAGATTTTTTGATGATGGCCATTCTGACCGGTGTGAGGTGATACCTCATTGTAGTTTTGATTTGCATTTCTCTAATGATTAATGATGTTGAGCAATCTTTCATGTGTTTGTTGGCAATCTGTATATCTTCTTTGGAGAAATGTCTATTTAGGTCTTCTGCCCATTTTTGGATTGAGTTGTTTGTTTTTTTGATATTGAGCTGCATGAGCTGCTCATATATTTTGGAGATTAATCCTTTGTCAGTTGCTTCATTTGCAAAAATATTCTCCCATTCTGAGGGTTGTCTTTTCGTCTTGTGTATGGTTTCCTTTGCTGTGCAGAAGCTTTTAAGTTTCATTAGGTCCAATTTGTTTGTTTTTATTTCCATTTCTCTAGGAGGTGGATCAAAAAGGATCTTACTGTGATTGATGTCATAGAGTGTTCTGCCTATGTTTTCCTCTAAGAGTTTGATAGTGTCTGGCCTTACATTTAGGTCTCTAATCCATTTTGAGTTTATTTTTGTGTATGGTGTTAGGGAATGTTCTAATTTCATTCTTTTCCATGTAGCTGTCAAGCTTTCCCAGCACCACTTATTCAAGAGGCTAGGGAGTTGCTTTTGAAAACCTTTGATATTTTCTGACTTTTAAATTTTGCCAGTCTTTTTTGTTGTAGTGATCTCATTCTGCTTTATATTTGCATATCCTTGATTACCAGTGAGTTTTGAACATCTTCATTTGTTTATGTGCTCTTTTGTAAAGGATATGTTGATGGTTATTCATTTGTTTCAGATTTGTTCCTTTTTAAAGGATATATTGAGCTCCTGTGCCATTTTTCTATTAGGTTATTTGTCTTTTTCTTAATATTTACAGTTTATATTTCCTGGATTCTGATCCTTTCTCACATGTGTTGCAAATTTGTTTTGCACTCTGTATATTTCTACTCTTTCTCTCTTTACAGTACTTTTGAAATATCTGTCTTTTCCTTTATTCCTTTATGCTTTTTATATCATAAGAAAGCCATTCCTACCCTCAAATCATGAAGATACTCTCCTATCTAAAAGTTTTGCCTTAAACATATGGTTGTTTAATCTTCCTGGGGAAAAAATGTGTATGAGGTATGATATGGGAATCCAATTCCATTTTTTTCTCCTATGGATAGTCAGTTGTTCTAACACCATTTTTCTTTCTTCACTGATCTCAAACACTATGTCTGTCATATATCAAGTTTCCACACACTGGTTGGGGTAGGGGGTGGGGGGGTCCTTTTTTGGGTTCCCTATTCTGTTCCATTGACTTTGTCTCTTGTGCTAATACTGTAACATCTTAGTTAATTACAAGACCTGATTAATTGTCTGGATATTAGGGAAAGCAAGGCTCCCATTTTCTTTCTCTTCAATCTTGGCTGAAGTGTCTTGGCTATTTGCACTGGTGTGTAAGTTTTAGAATCAGCTTATCAAGTTCCACAAAACCCTTTTTGGGATATTGGTTGGAATTGCTTTGAATCTGTTGATCATTAAAAGGGAAAACTGATATCTTTGTAGTATTGGGTCCATTAATAGATCTATCTATATATTTGTCTTCTATGTGTCTTTCATTATAGTTTTATAATTTTGCCATAAAAGTGTTGACTTCTTTTGTTAGACTTTCCTGGTAACTGTATGCTACTATAAGTGATATCTTTTTTTAAATTAGTTTTCTAATTATTTGTTTGTGACATAGTGATTTTTTTAAATGCTATACTTTTTTACTTTGTTAATCTGTTTTAGATTCTTGAATTTTTTGTATATACAGTCAAATCATCTATGAATAACGATAGTTTTGTGTCTTCTTTCCAATCCTTATACCTTCTTTTTCTTGCCTTACTGCACTAGCTAAGGTATCATTTGCAATGTTAAATAGAAGTGGTGAAAGTAACATCCTTGTGTTATTCCCTATCTCAGTGCTTTCAGTATATTACTGAAAAGTGATATCATAGTATAAAGTATAAGTTACACACTGATAAATATCAGTATATTACTGATAAATCTAATGTTAGCTATATATAGGCTTTTTGTAGATACTCTTTTATCAGCTTAAAGAAGTTCCATGGCTCAATATAGTAATGATCTCAGTCTCCCAATATTGCTCTATAAATTCAATGCGGTTCTAGTCAGAATCCCAGAAGGGGGGTTTTGGTGTTTGTTTTGATGGAATATAACAATCATCAGCATGGATGAATCTCAGAAATACAATGTTGAGCAGAACATGAAAGTTGCAAGATTATGACTTCATTCTTATAAAGTTAAAAGACATTAAAGCTGTGTGACAGGTAAAAATATAAAGAAAAGCAAGAAAATGATTATCACAGAGTTCATTATGTTAATTACTTCTGGGAGGTGGGACAGGAATGTAATTGAAGGGGCTCATATAGGACCCTCAGCAGTATTGGCAGTGTTCTAATCTTAAACTAGGGACTGGCTAAACACACAAGTTTCATTTTTTATATTACTATTATTATCAGGTATGAAAACGTCTTTCTTTTGCCTTCAACCCATTTTTAAGAGAAATCTTTATAAAATTTGTTTTCCTCCAAGAGTTGAAAATTTGTAAAAATATTGCGATGAAAACCATATACCTTTCACCAAAATTCACTAATTGTTAATATTTTGCTATATTTGTTTTATGTTTCTCTCATGCATTGCACTTATTTGTCATGTCTTTTCACATTCCTTTAATTTAAAACAGTTCCCCAGCCCCTTCTTTGTCTTTTATGACATTGATATTTTTGAAAAGTTCAAGCTAGTTGTTTTATACAATTTGGAATTGTCTCATGTTTCCCTCATGATTGATTTGTGTTAAACATTTTTGGCAGAAATTCTACAAAGGCAGGACGACTACAGTGGTCTTCTCAGGAAGCACATAATGTCAGTTTCTCACATTATTAATGGTGTTACTTTGATCATTTGGTTAAGGGGGTACCTGGCTGTTTTCTCCACTGTAAGAGTATCTTTTCTCCTTTGTAGTTAGTGGAGAATCTTAATTTGTGGGTGATTATTTGAGCCTGAGTGATTAAACAGTTGACCCTTGAATAGTGTGGGTTTGAACTGCATGGGTCCACTTATACTTGGATATTTTTCAGTAGTAGATACTATGGTGCTACACAGTTGCTGGTTGGTTGAATCCAAGGATGCAGATGAACCCTGGATGTGGAGTGTGGACTCTAAGCTGTGCATGAATTAACCCCTGCATTGTTCAAGGGTCAATTGTACTGTTCCCCAACAATTTTTCATCAAATGGTTTTATCATGTGTTATGCATTTCTGTTATTTTTTCTTTTTGGTGCCCCAGATTTGGCTAGTTGGAACCCCTGGTTCACGTGTCCTTTTGTCCACCTGTGATCTGGTAAAACAATATGTTGGCTCACCTTGTATTTTGGCTGACCCAGTCCAGGTTTTGTTTAGTGCACTTTAGCTGCGCTCATAGCTATTGGAGTCTTGTTGCTTCTTGTTCGTTTTGGTGGGTGGTGCTAAGAAATATATGTGTATTTAAATTGCAAATTCATAATGACACCTCTGATTCCACACCAACACAGGGTTCTTCCTGTCCTCCCATTCCATGTTTATAGCTCTTTTCTTCCATTTAAGAACCCTAATTTTTTTAAACATCAGCAATATATTTATACTGATTTGCTCAGTCCTATAACATGCACAGAATTATTTTGGAACTCATACCATTACCAACAACAAACCTACTAAGTAAAGTTCAAGATTTCCTTGCACTTCTTTTGTCCTTTGCATATATCCTATGGCAGGGCTGGAGTCAGCACTCTGCAGAAGTTGTCTTAGATTAGTTTGTGTTTGTATTCCATTTTAGGGCTGGTTTTGTTTAAGTTTGAATATATAAACCATTAACATGGTTCAAAGTCAAAACTAAGCTTGGGCAAGTTAGTAACTTCTCAGTGTCTCAATTTCCTGCTATGTAGGATTGCTGAGAAGTTTCAATGATGTAATAAAGACTACAGAGTGTTTAGCACAGTGCAGAACACCTACAGCATCCAATAAATATGAGCTGTTCTTATTTCCCTTCTTTCTTTATGAATTCCTCCCAGTCGCTTCTCTTGCTTTTTACTTTTCCTGGTCTGTGACCCCAGGCTATGCATGGGGTGGGGTAGGTGGGCAGGTGGAGGGAGGTACTTGTTACACAGTGATGAGTGGGAAGGAAGAGGGCACATCCTTTATGTTCCTACTATGTGCTTATCACTGCCAGGCATTCTCCTTAACTCAGCGAACACTCACATCCCTGCAGGGTCTTTACGAGTATTCTTCCTCTTATACAGACGAAGAAATGGAGGCTTAGGATGATAAATGCTGTTGCCCAAGGTTACTCAGCTAATCCTGGACCCTGGACCTACCTCACCCTCACCACCTGGCTTTGCTTCCCCCACCTTCTGCACCTCCTTCACTTAGGACCCAAGTTCTAGCTCACTGAAGGGAAACCCCGCTCAGATTTGGGGAGCACATATAAGGAACAGAGCAGGCCTGGATCCAGCCGGAGCACCGTCTCTATGCCTTCCTCCCTCTGTATCCCTCCCCAGTCTGGACCATGCTGACAGCTGGCCCTGGGGGAAAATGCAGTTCTCTCCAGTATGCCCAGTGGCAAGTCCTCTATGCATGCTAATCAGCAGCTAGCACTTGCCAGCAATTGGCTACAGTTCTGGGTTTAGTCTGGGTTTATTTTTTGTATTTATACCTTGTGTGCAGAGATAGCTGACTTGGAGTAGGAGCGGGGTCTGGAAAATGAGAGAAGCAAAGGAGCTAAAAGCTAGAAGCTGAGAGGGAATTCAGAGGTCATCTTTGCTATCCCTCTGCCTCCTGACAGGACTACACCTACGGGAGAGCAACGTTTAAAAGGGTAACACTGGGCAGTCTGGAGTACTACTGGCAGCTTTGGGAGATGGACCCAGCAGGGACTAGCAGGCCGATGTTGAAGAAGAGAAAATCGGGGTGGCGGGTGGGGAGGGGTGTAGTGGTATGTGATACACTGATTCTTTCATCCCAGATTGCCCAACTGTAGGCAGTAAAGTTTGAGGATTCGGGATTTCCCTGGTGGTCCAGTGGTTAAGACTTCGCCTTCTAATGCAGGGATGCAGGTTCAATCCCTGGTTGGGAATTTAAGATGTCTCGCGGCCAAAAAAACAAACAAACAAAAAAAGATTGAGGCCTCATCTTGCCTCCCTGCCCCACATATTGAAGAGAAACTTAAAACCAGAGAAGGCACTAGACCAAGGTCACACAGTGAATTTGAGGCAGAACCAGGACCAACACCTGGGCCTGGTGGCCGCCAGTCCTGAGCTCTCACAATGACATCTCAGAGGGAGCTAGCTAGGAGAGAGAGGTCTTCCCCTCCATCCACCATGTGTCCCATGGATGTCATAAACCACCTGAGAACTCTTCTGGTAGAATTCTCCACAAATTCTTGTTCATTGACTACTTATATCTCCCCTGGTTCTTTCCCCCTTTTCTTTCTGCTTCTCACTTTAAAGAAGATGGCTCTTCCAGCTCTGCTGTCACATCAGGGCTTGACATAGTAAGTGCTCAGTACACATTTGCCCTATGAAGATACAATGAATGGGGCAACTTGGCAACATCCTGTAAGGGTGAAGATTAGCACATGCCCTCAGACTGAGGAAGACCCCAGAGAAATGTTCACACACACGGCCACCAGGAGACATGCAGAAGGATGTTTATAGAGGTGCTCTTCACTATAATAAAATGTGCAAAACTACCTAAGTCTTCATGATCAGGAGAACAGAAAAATTAAATAGTGTTTTCACACAATGGAATACCACACAGCAGTGAAAAATGAATGACCTATATGTACATATGTTAACATGGCTACATCTCACAAACAGTGTGGAGTGGTAAAGCAAGTCATGAAGTGTCTGTAGAAGAACAGTAATACAAAGCTTTCAGCACATCAAAATCAGGAAAGTAGTAACCTTGGGGAGGGGGAGAAGTGGAATCAGATCAGAGAGGGTACACAGAGGGCTCCAAATCCTTCAATGATGTTTTATTTTTGAAGCTGAATGATGGGTAAAGGGGGTTGTATTATCCTTGATACCTTTTGTATGTCTGAAATATTTTATTCTAAAAATTTTTTTAAATGGAAAAAAGAATAAGTTAAAAAAAACTAAAAATGAAGTCCCATCCTATTGTCTTTAGCTTCCACACTATTCTTACCCACTCCCGTATTATCTTTAAACCACAGATATACCTTATACTCCACTGTATATATGATATAGCTCATGATAAACATATTTTAAAGGGAAAATATGCAAAAGGAAAGTCAGACATTGTAAGGTAAAGGAAAACATCTCCTGACTAAAGTTGCTGTGTAACTTGAAATTTCCTCCTCACTGACCAGTATAAATACTGGTAGCTCTTTGGCCATATATGCTGCTTCAGGATATAACAATGGAGATGGGCAATTAGAACATTTCATTGTATATAACCAAAGAGGAAGAAGATTTTGCCAGTGATTTAGGGCTTCCTTCCATCTACCCGTTCTTCAGAGTACATTTTCTCATATTTAAAAATAAATGCATGGGGCTTCCCTGGTGGCGCAGTGGTTGAGAGTCTGCCTGCCGATGCAGGGGCCACGGGTTTGTGTCCTGGTCCGGGAGGATCCCACATGCCGCAGAGCGGCTGGGCCCGTGAGCCATGACCACTGAGCCTGCACGTCCAGAACCTGTGTTCCGCAACGGTAGAGGCCACAACAGTGAGAGGCCCGTGTACCGCAAAAAATAATAATAATAATAAATAAATAAATAAATAAATCTGGTTGTCTATAATAAAAAATAAATGCATGAATTGTTCCACGAAGAGTTATTTTAAGAAACCTGAAGTAAATAGTAACCTTCTTTTTTTAACATTTTCCTTCCTATGGTTTTTTTTTTTTTTTTTTAACATCTTTATTGGAGTATAATTGCTTTACAATGGTATGTTAGTTTCAGCTTCACAACAAAATGAATCAGTTATATATATACATATATTCCCATATCTCTTCCCGCTTGCGTCTCCCTCCCTCCCTTCCTATGGTTTTAAGACTGAAAAAGCCCCTAACCATTATAAAAGTTTTATGGATCAAATTTGGATTTTTGATTTTTAAAAAACTTTTTTTCTAAAAGGGAGGCAGCTTAACACTAAGTATCTGCCTAGATATGAATGATATTTTGAAGACTTACCAGTTTTTAATTGTCCATTGTTTCCTAAACTGTATTTTTAGTTTCATTTGCTCTCTCTTAGGGAATGAAGGATGGCAGCACGCCGTGCATTAAAAGCTGTTTTGGTGGATCTCAGTGGCACACTTCACATTGAAGATACAGCTGTGCCAGGCGCACAGGAAGCTCTTCAAAGGCAAGCTATCCTCCATGTTCAGCTGACAAATATGTTTGTAGGTGCCGTGTTACCAAGGCAGATCATTAGCTGAATGGATGGCCTTAAGGTGGCATTTCACCAGTTTACCATATATACAGGAACTGCCTTCGGCTTAGCTAGAAGATGTATGCATTGTAATAATCTTCCAGACATGGTTCTCTAAGCCTTTTGTTAGGTTTGGCCTTTTGATTTAGTCTTTTTGTTCTTTATGTGTATCTTTTTCTAAGTCGGTAGTGTAAATTTGGGAATGAAAACTCGAGACTCTGAAATGTGGAATAAGTAGCATTTGAAAAATCACAAATGAATCCTGGAATCACAAAACGAAACACACACATATACAAAGCCATAGTTCCGCTCACTCTTCTTCAGCTAAGATCTAACACTGAGTGTGCAGCTGCTCAAATAAAATTTAATTAAGGAACTTGAAACTTTAGAATTATTTCCATTAACTAAACTTAATGCTTTTGAAGGTTAGAGATTGTCTTACATTTCTGATGCGTCACCACAAGTCTAGATACAAAATACATAATGAAAGCTTGGTAAAGTGAACTGAATGTGTTCCTCAAAAAAGTACTCCTCAGTACAACAGAACTAGTAATGTTATTAAGCATCTCATCTTCAAATAATTTAGAGGAGTTTTCAAAATCAACAATAGCGTGTGGTGCTTTATCATTTTCAAACCTTACAATATTCACATAGTATGCTGTTGTTCAGGAAATCTAGTGACTAGTATCACAGTGCCAGGTATTACGGCAAGAGATCAACACTGACTTGGCACGCTCTCAAGGAGCTTACTCTCCATTTGGGGCTTCAGTGAGTGTGAAGAGATTTTAGATCTGGTAGGTGTCATTTGGAAGCTGTTGACTTAGCCAGCAGTCATGACATTCATTTTACAGGTGGACAACAATATGTTTAAAGCCTGAAGTAAATCAGTTGGAGACGGGGACTTTCTCTTGACTCCTTGCCATGGTCTCTCTCAGACTTTCTAGGGAAAAGGATGTCTGTCGGTCAGTCTCCTCTCCTGTTGGACAAGAGCTTTTACTGCTTCAAAGATGAGCTTTCTGCTCTGGATGGAAAGAAGAATCTTATTTCTGGTGAACAATGAATGACATCTCTAAGTACCTCTGTAAACTATGAGCCGGCCATTCTGGAGGGGCAGGAGCCTACAGATTGTTCTCTCACTGACACTGGCAGGTTTCCATCCCAGAGAGATTGCTATACTGTCACTGCCAGTTTTCGTTTCTATAGAAACAAACAGACTAAGGGAAGTTGAGGGACTAGCAAAAAGAAAAGGTTTTTAAAATGCTCGTTGAAAATGATATGATCATTTCAGTACTTAGACTTGTTCATTTTTAAGGTAATAGTTACGTTGAAGTATTCAGTTTCTTTTGAGAGATAAACTACCAAATTTAATGTGTTTTTCAGAAAAGCTACCATACAGATATTACAGAGATAATCATGATTATAATGAACTATTTAATCATATAAATCTATGAATGCTCTGAGTGAATTCTTAAAAATCTCTTTTCTGTTTTATTTGCTTGCTTATTTTAAATTATGGATAGTGCTTTATGCCTTATGTCTATTTGGGGCAGGTATAAGATAAAAAGCAACAGGGTATTAATATAAAAATTTTAATTATAGGTAAATTATTTTTAGGTTAAAGCACTTTAGGACCAAGAAAATAATTTTTGTTTTGAAAGAAAGCTGGATTATCATGAATTCTTTCTCTGATACCTGATTGCCAGTTTAGGTTCCAAAAGCAGATTATGGAATCAAAAGTAGTTCAAAGGGAAAACACATTCCAGTCTGTAAAGATGGAACGTTTCTTTCTCCAAGTAGTTTCTGTTTGTAAACTTAGTAGCACATTAGGGCTTAGCCAGTGTCTAATTGGCTAAGAGGAAGGAAGAACTCTTGAGGTGTCCTCTGTTCTTTTAGTATAGGGGGTCAGACCCTGTCTAGGACATAGGCTGGAGTTCTTGTCACAGCCCTACTGCTGCCCAGCTGTGTACAGCTGAGCCCAGTCATTAATCCTCTAGGCCTGAGTTTTCTCATCTTCAGAAGGTTACACTAGTAGATAATCTCTAAGATAACTTTCACCTCTCATATTCTCTGAGTATGGTGGTTACTAAGTGTTGAGTTTTTTTGTTTTATTTTTGTTTTTTACTTCTTTACTAAAACCCTGTAGTAAAATTCAGTTAAAGTATAGAAGGCCCTTGAAAGGGTAGACTTTACAGCCTTTGGAGATGAAGCAGTCCACAGGGTGTGGATAATCTGTAAGCAATTTTGAATAGATTATAAAACCTACTAGCCATAAAAACACTTACTCAGTGACTTACCCTTAATTTTCTGACCTTTGGCAAGTGCTACCAAATTAGGTTTTATGGAGCTAGAATGTAAAAGTTGCCTATTGACACCTGAATTTTACTTTTCCAGGTTACGTGCTACTTCTGTAATGGTTAGGTTTGTGACCAATACAACCAAAGAGAGCAAGAAAGACCTCTTGGAAAGATTGAAGAAATTGCAGTTTGATATCTCTGAAGATGAAATATTCACTTCTCTGACTGCAGCCAGAAACTTGGTAGAGCAGAAACAAGTCCGACCCATGCTGCTGGTTGATGATCGGGCCCTACCTGATTTTAAAGGTAAGAGAAATTTGGAAAGATTTAAAAATTGGTTCTTCATATCTGCTTATAAATCATTCTTAAAACTGGATGTTTAGAAGTATTTAGTCAGATTTCCTCTGTCATCAGTAGTTTGAATCTAAATTGGTGTTTCTCAAATCTGTTTTGACCGCACTCCAAAATAAGTGAAACACATTACATAGAAATCCAGGATGTATGTATGTGTATTTGTATATGTTAAACAGTACTCTTACTTGTGAGATGTACTCTATTTTCCATTTGGTTTACTTAACTGTGTGACTTTGATACTGCTTAGAGTCCTCCAGATTAGTTTCAAAATCTACTAATGGATCATGGCCCACAGTTTGAAAAAACACAGGTTAAGATTTCTTTGAGTATTATAATCGTCATTCCTGGAGCCATGGTATTAGTTTGATTATATGAGATAAACCAAGGTCAACTTGTTTAAAAATAGATTTCATTCTGTATGGTTTGAAGTTTTTGCAATGACCATGAAATATTTTCAATCAAGAGAAAATAAAACTTTTCTCTTTGGAAAAATTAACAAACTGGAAAAATATCCTTGTGTTATGAAGCTTTGCCACACTGCTTTTTTGTAGGTGATACTCAGAGTGAAATACACAATATAGAAAAAGTGGGTATAAATACATCATTACAAAACCATGTAATGATTAGAGAACTTCAGCATGGATATATAGTTAGGCAGAACCTCAAAACTTATACTATCAGGAAATATAACTGTATATCAATCAGAATTTGCAAAAAACAGAAACCAACTTTGGGTGAATTAAACAGGAAGTAAATTTATTAAAAGATCTGACTAGGGCTTCCCTGGTGGCGCAGTGGTTGAGAGTCCGCCTGCCAATGCAGGGGACACGGGTTCGTGTCCCGGTCCGGGAAGATCCCACATGCCGCAGAGCGGCTGGGCCTGTGAGCCATGACCGCTGAGCCTGCACGTCCGGAGCCTGTGCTCTGCAACAGGAGAGGCCACAACAGTGAGAGGCCCATGTACCAAAAAAAAAAAAGATCTGACTGCTGACAGGATATAAAATGGCACAACTCCTGCAGAGAGGAATTTGGCAGTAGCTCTCAAAATTGCATGTGAAGCAGTACTGCCTCTTGTAGGAATCTACCTCCAAGATGCAGTAACAAAAATGTGCAAGGACATATGAATAAGGTAGGTTGTTCATTATGACCTTATTTGTAATAAGAAAAGATTGGAAACAGCCCAAATGTTCATTGGAAGAGACTGATTAAAACTATGAAATGTCCACAAAATGGAATGCTTTGTGGCTGAAAGATAAGTAATGGCGAATTCTATATCCTGATAAGAGTGATCTTCATAGGATATATTAAGTGAAAAAATTATATGGTATAGAAAACCTTACACACTTTTATCTGTGTAAGAAAATGAGAGGAAAATGGATATAAATGTATTTGTCTTATATTTGTGGAAGGAAGCTGAAGGATGATAAATGAAAAACTAGTAAAAATGGTTATCTAAAGGGGGAGGGTGGGAAGAGGAGAGGTGATTTCTCTAAAAGTACGTTATTATCTAGTTTTGACTTTGGAACCATGTGAATATTTTACATATTTAAAAGGCAATTAAAAAGTTAAAAACAAACCAATCCCTGAAAACCAAAAGCAGATTGAAACAAATGAACTCTATATAAAGTTGGTGACATAACCACTCAGAGAAAAGAATTACTTCAGATGACTTTAAAATTCAGTATTTTGACAGTTCATTCATGGGGGGATCAATTCTAAGGATGAAAGAACTGCAAAGAAATCTAAAACTGCATTCAGTAGTATTAGTGTTATTAGTAGTGTTGATATTATTTTGTAATTATAGATGTATTATACGATAAAGTAGTAGTTACGCTAGTATTGTTAGTACTCCAGATTTTAAGTGTAAGTGAAAAGAGATAGAAATATAAAAATCAGATGAGGTATGTATTAATTTTGAATTAAAATATTATCAACTCCCTTGTTCTCTCAAAAAGTACATATTATCTAGATCTCCTACTAAAAAGGCATAGAAGCAGTGAAGCACAGTGGTCAGACTGGTGTCTACTATGGTTTCCCACTTTAGTTCCTTGGAGAAATGGGTGATTCCATTTCTCCAAGGAGCTGGAGAAATGGGCAGGCGTTGTATGAGTCTGGGATAACTAATTGTTAGCAAGGAAACTATCGAAAACTAATAAGGTCATGCCTAAAGGACACTGAAGCCAATTTGAAGCGATAGTTGGAGCATCAAAAAGAATACTGATTGCAATAGATTGCAATGCATCATACGTATAAAAAGTTCAAAATGATATTCATCCCACAAAACTCATTGGTCACTATGGAAAATTGTTAGGGAAGTAACTCATTCTGAAAATGGATAAACGAAACAAGCATTTATCCTGCCTTTCCTATTTTAACTATATTTTATAGTAACTAAACATTTGATGAGGGTAAGTTCTTTATAGAAGAATTATAGCTAGTAAATGCAAAAGGAATGCCAGAATTAGAAAATCACCATTTGGCAAACCCTAGTGACAAAGTGAGAGAGTGGCATGGACATATATACACTACCAAACGTAAAATAGATAGCCAGTGGGAAGCAGCGGCATAGCACAGGGAGGTCAGCTTGGTGCTTTGTGACCACCTAGAGGGGTAGGATAGGGAGGGTGGGAGGGAGGGAGACACAAGAGGGAAGAGATATGGGGATATATGTATGTGTATAACTGATTCACTTTGTTATAAAGCAGAAACTAACACACCAATTGTAAAGCAATTATACTCCAATAAAGATGTTAAAAAAACAAACAAAAAAAACCAAACCCTAGTGAAATAGGCAACAATATCAATAGATTTTAAACACATTAGGTGAAGAGTTGATGGGGAACTTCAAAATGGAGGAATCAGGCTGACACCACTTGAACCTATTGATCAGTCTTAACATCACTGGAAGTAGAACACACAGAACTCTTGTGCTTCGTGATGTGATATAATTGGAAATTCATGGCATTGCCTATAAGTACTCTTGCCTAGTAATTGAATGTGAACTTATGAAGCCTCTAGATTCAATTACTGGTTTATAGGAAATAATAAGAGTAAAGGAATAAATTAAATAATATCACAAGCAATCAGCCAAATCCAGAATGTGGGACCTTTTCCAAGATTAATGATCTAGTTGCTCCAGTAAGTGGAGAGGAATGTTGCTATAGAATGAGAGGTAAAGGATAACAATCAAATACAATATATGGACCTTGTTGGGTGCCAATTACATATCAGATGTGAAAAGACATTTTGAGACATTTGGGGAGATTCAAATGTGGACTAGATATTGAGTGATATTAAAGAATTATTTTAACTTTGTTGGTGTAATAATGTTAAGGTGGGTTTTTTTTTAGGTCTTTATCAGTTAACGATATGTACTGAAATATGAAAGGGTGAGATGATACTGGAATATACTTAAAAGACTTTAAAATATGTAGAGAATGGTAAATAAGATTGGCAAAACGCTGATGACTGCTAAAGCTGGGTGATGGGTACATCAGGGCTTATTATGAGCTAGTCTTTCTACTTTTTAATATTTTTTGAATGTCCATGACAAAAAGAAAAAAGCCTGTAGCCCACAGAACTAACTGCCCAGGGGAGCTGGAGGTTCGCCTCGGGGGCTGTGCGCTGAGGAGCGGCGTGCGACATCTCATGCAGAGCTGATCCGGTGCCCTCAGTGTCCCTGCTGAACACTGACCTCTGCAGCTTGCCTATTCACGCCAGTAGCACTGGAGATTGGAAGTTCCAGCTAGCACTGCTGCCTCAGAATTTCCAGTGAGGTTCTCCCTGCTACTTTATCTTCCTAGCTCCCAGTTTAAAGCCCAGGGTTGGGGGGGTGCTTTTGATTGGCAGAACCTCTGTCTCAGGCCAGTACCCATAGCTGCGGAGGCTGGAAAATAAGTATCTGGTGTTTTCACCCTCTCAGGAGAGGGTGAGCTCTGCTCCTCACTAAGCCTTATGAGCTAGTGGATTCCCTAATTATGAAAATGGTATTCAGAAACTGGGCTACGAAAAACAATGACAAATACATTCTACAATCAGTGTATTTATATTTCTGAGTTAGCTGAAGTACTACAAAACAATTTTTTATTCAGATTTTTTACTTTATTTGAAGAAAGTTTCTAGTTGTGCAGTAGTGAGCTGGAGTTGACATATATAAGCACAATCTCTGGTCTGGAAGAAATCTTTATTTGATGTAAGACTAAACTTGCAACATGTTTATATACATGAAAATACCCAAAGTAGATAGGTTTTTGAAGGGAATGGAAATATCTTGGCTAATACTGAATATCTTAGCCAGTGGTAGATGGAGATAATAAAAAGAGCACATAAAACTCCAACTCTTAACGGTAGCCATTGATTTTATTTTCTTCCTTTAACAAACTTTAACCAATTACTGGATACTCATGGCTGTTGGTAAGGAGGAAATTGGATATCTTGGGTATCTGCTTTTTCTACTTCTTCCCCTCACATTTTGGTAGAATCGATGAGAATGCTTAAAGGCAGGCAATAAGAGAGGCAAATAGGAATCGGCATATGGATAATGCACAGACACTTCAATCAGTTTTAATAACTGTGATGGTGGAAGTACTTGTTTGGTTCTTGATCTAAAGTCTTGTCATCAGGTACCAAGGCCTTAAAACATGCTTTAATTATAGAATAATATTTGTGAAACTAGAAGTGGATTAGGTATTATTGTAGAAAACTATAGACCCTACAGTGCATTCCATATTTATCATGATGGTGTTAGCCTCAGCTGTATCACCTAGAGAGTCTATAATTTCCCTTGCCTGTTAGGTTTTCAGTCCCTCATCAGTTGCTATTGATCTGATAGCTCATAGAGAACTGTGGCTCTTCTTGTTGATTTTAATCAGTAAAGCTTTTTGAAGTTAGAAATTGTTGCTTGTTTGAGAACATCAGGGTACAAGTTTCAGTTTAGATCTTCTAGTTATTCAGTAGCTGTAAGACCATGCAAAAGGAATATACAGAAATACTAGGAGACCTTTTTTCTTTTTTTTAAGTTATAGCTGATACTTTCAAAGTACACTGGGCAGGATAATCTCTTAAACTTCAGATTATTGGCTACAGCAAAAATTTGTACTTGATTGACTAAAACTACTTTATCATAAAATGTGACATTACTGTTAATTGCATTTTTCAATAATTTTTTCTTTCCATTCCCAGGAATACAAACAAGTGATCCTAATGCTGTGGTCATAGGATTGGCACCAGACCATTTTCATTATCAAATTCTGAATCAAGCATTCCGGTAAGTCTTTAGCTGTTTATTTTTCATGTGATCATATACTCCCTTCTCTTCTTAAGTCTTTGTTGTGTAAGGTTATACATAATTTACTTTCCGGCCACCTAGATTGTAGGTGTACAGATATCTTAAAGATCACTTCAAGATCAACATTAAATATTTATTACTGTCTTCCTTAGTTTTTTAAAAATAATCAATATGTTAAAACGTGATGATCACTGGGGTTTTTCTCGTTCATAGGATCAATATTCTGGGGCAGAAATTCGTAATCAAATTGTAAATCTAAAGCTAGGAGTTTTATCTTTTATTATCACTCCTGTGATTCTTCACTGACTATGATCTCTGAAGGAAAATAAGATCCAGGCTAATTCACCCAAAACAGTAAATGTGATTCTTCCTCCAGAGAGAATCCAGGCTATCGAAAAAAGTTGGCACGTTTGACCACACTTTCAAAGAAATTATTCGACGAGTGATAATGGTAGTCTGATCTGTGATTGTGGCAGTAGGGATGAAGAAAATGAGATTCTGGTATTGTCAACATGACTTGATGGACAGTTGGGTCAAGGGGGTGAAGAAGAACAGTGAGTCAGCATGTAGATATCTAACCTAAGTGCCTGTGATAGAGAACACTCCCTGTGTGGGTTCAGGAGGTGATGAGTAGGGTGGGGCTCTTTGAACTGTGGGCTATATAAGTGGAGGGGTTCCAATAGCTGTTGGTAGAAATTGAGGAACCACAACTAACATGTAAAATGTTATAAATCTTCAATTGTGTGTGCATTTTACCTGTATGAACTTTTTACTGCTACTTCCAAAAGGCAGACTGCATACTGGTTCTCATACTTGCTAAACTAAATTGGATCAGAATTTATTCGCAAGTCTACTCTAGAGTGAGATTGTGATTTTTTTCCCCTTGGATTTTTCATTTTTTATAGATTTTTCATTTTTCATCTTGCCTTTTGCTTCTTGTTGAACATTAAACAGTGTAATTTGCCTTTAAATTTATGACAAGTTAAGTAGTCCTACATACTGCATAGATGTACATTGAACTAACTTTAAAAAGAATTTCTTTAATATCTTGGTAAATTTTTGGAATTTAACATCATTTTCTTACCAGTATGAAGATATTCAAGAATCATTCTAACTTATACTTGATGTAGAATTCACTTCTTGATGTATATGTTCTAGAATCAAAATGTTAAAACTCACTACAAGGTTCACACATCTGGGCACATTTGATCTTGAAGATGGCTACCCTGTGTACAATCTATGTGGCCAGAAGTAGCCCTTTGGGAACAGTCACCTTTTTTCCATTTGCACATTAATTTTAGATCCTCGGTTATGAAAACTATGGCTACTGAATGTACTTTTATTTGTGACTCTCTTAGTTACTGTGACAGTCAAGCTTTTGTTTAAATAAAAACAAATTCACTTTTTATAATTGCTCAGTAGACATTATTTCCCAGAGATCCACTGTTGTGCCAGATTGCTTGAGTATTAAAATTTCTTCACCTTCTTCAGTTTTCTACTCTAGCTTCTTGGGGGACAGGGGGCAAAGGGATTATCTCACCAGCTCCTTAAGGTTTATAACTATAACCAAAACCAGTTTTCATTTGAAATAGAGAACCTGCTATTATATCTTACTTCCAGATTTACCCCCTGCTACATTTTATTCATTTCTGAACCACAGAATTCAAGGAGAAGGTATTGATTGATTTTAGCTGGTAATTTGGGAAGGACCTAATATTTAATAGGAAGTTGGGAGGTCTCTGTCTTAGATAAATACTAGACTCAGGGTAATAAAAATGTGTGTTGATGTAATACTGACTTTGTAATTGTTTGCATGCTGTCTAATTAGCACACTTCCCTAACCATATTGATTTTTTTAAACACTACATTTTAAAGCATTACAGTGCACTTATAAGTCAACTCTAATTTCACAAATGCCCTTAACAGCTGGGTGGAAAGTTAACAAAAGGATTTTAGGTCTTGCCCTTCTTTGCATATTGATGTCTCCACAGAAACTATGCCTTCCAACCAATGACTACAGCTGTTTGGGTTGTGACATCTCAAATGCACCGCCAATTAGTTAAATTACTATTCAGGTTCTTAATGAGGATAAACATTGGATTTTAAACCCCGTTGCATATCTGCCTTGAATACCTGCTTTAGGGGCATATTGCCTTCAGGCAGATACATGCACCCTCCACATTACACTCCTCTTATTTACTGTATTTTGAGTGGGTAGCCCCCCTGACATGCATAGTATGCTCTGTCTACAAAAATGTCTTAAATGTCTGAATAAAATTGAAAACACTGAATTTTAAAGAATTGATTTTGGGGAAGGATGTGAACCACTTATAGGGGATAGATGTGATTTGGGCTTGGGTTCTATGAAACGTTCAAATCCTGAGAACCATGGATGGCTTTTTACCTTTTACCTAATACTAAAAGGTACAAAGTGTAATATAATGAATACCCATATGCCTGTCAATTGGTTTAAGAAACACAAGTTATCAACACGTTTGATAACCCCTGTGTATCCCTCCTCAGTTTTGTCAGCCAAGACCCAAAAGTAATCAGGATTGTGAATTTCTGTTTATCATTGTCTTGCATTTCTTTATACTTGTAACACATACGTAGGTATTTCTAGACTATATGTAGTATTATCTTGCATGTTTTATACTTTATGTGTGCATCAGTTTGCTTTCTTCCCTAGAAGTAATGTATGATTCATCAATATGAATGCCTATAACTCCACTCATTTTCACAGTTGTAGTACTAGCTTGTAGCAAGGTCTTTTTTCATCTTCTGACCTGTTAGGGGAAAAAAAGCATGAGCATTTCAGTAAGGGACCAATTTTAATTAAATTCTATTCAGAGAAAGCCTACCTGGGCAAGCAGATCACTTAATCTAAATGAACTTGGTATTAACAAGACTAAAAAATATCTAACCTCAAAATTAATACATCCTCCCAGAATAGACGCAAAGGTAGAGAATGGACTTGAGGACGGGGCCGTAGGGTAGGGTAAGCTGGAACGAAGTGAAAGAGTAGCATTGACATGACCAAATGTAAAATAGATAGCTAGTGGGAAGCAGCTGCATAGCACAAGAAGATCAGCTCGGAGCTTTGTGACCGCCTAGAGGGGTGGGATAGGGAGGGTGGGAGGGAGGCGCAAGAAGGAGGAGATACGGGGATATATGTATACGTATAGCTGATTCACTTTGTTGTACAACAGAAACTAACACACCATTGTAAAGCAATTACACTCCAATAAAGATGTTAAAAAAATTAATATGTCCTCATTGTGGAAATTTTCAAATGCTCAAAAAAGAAACATGAATAAACAAAATTACCTGTGATTCTCCACCTAAGAGAACAACAGTTAACATTTTAGCATATAGCTAGTTTATTTGTTTCCATGCACATATATATTTAGACAAAAATGAGAGTGTATACATACTATGCGATAATTGCCTTTTAAAAAGCCGACAATATATTGTGCATGTTTTTCTGTATTTTTAAATATTCTTCTAAAACATATTTGATTCCCAGAGCATATTCCACTTTAAAAAATGCAGTAAATTGTGTAGCCATGTATTTCTGATTGTTAGTTATTTCCAGGTTTCATGAGTTAGTTTTTTATAAAAAACTTCTGAATGTGTTTGTTAAGCAATATTTATATTTCCGTAATATGTTTTCTCAGAAGTACAGTTGCTGGATCAAAGGGATTTTGGGAAAAAACTTCATGGAAATTGCTTAACTTAATAGTTCACAGAAAAGAAAATTTTTCTACATTAAGAGCAGCTGCCCTCCAGCTTCTTGAGGAGCTTATTAAAATGTTGTTACAATTGAAGATAAGTGACATCATATAACTTTCACATTTAAATGCGGAGATGAAGACTGCTTAAGAATAATGTTTTGAAGCTTTGCTAATGACTTCTTTCCTATAATTGTTACAAGGTACGAGAATCCTCCAAAAGTCTTAGAGGTGCACAGAAATTAGTTTCTCGTGTGTTTGGGGAAGAGATTCTTATCCCCGTAAATGGTTTCTGTTGAATATTGGATTGCTTTCTTTTCCCCTTCTCATTAAGAAAAGAATAAAAAGTTTAATTACTAATGTATTCAATTCCTTACAAAGGGAAGAAGGGAAGGGGAGGGGAAAAATCAACAATAATGGCCTCAGTTACTGCATTTGTATAGCAGCTCCTGAATCTTTTCTAAGAGTCCTGGGCATAAGGAATTCTAGAACAGTGTGGCAGTAGGGCTTAAATTAGAAATATTTCTGTGAGCTGTTTCCATTTTGAAAGGGCTGACTGCTATGCAATCTTTTTAATTAAGGTCCAGACTATAAAAATAAAACACTCTGGAGATGAGAAATTGTTGAAGACTTAAGAACTTGAGTTATTTAAAGCGTTCCATTAGTATATGCAGAACTTTATATGCCAATTTGAAGATCACAGAATACAGAATTGAGTTTAATATTAGTCACTACTCATTATTTAATTAACTGGGGAGATTCTTTTATGATCAAGGCAACTCTTGCTACTCTAAATAAAAGCTTTAGGTGAATAAACCACATAAATATATTGTTACTGATCTTTTAAAATTGATGTATAACATACAATAAGGTGTACAGATTGTCAGTGTACAACTCAATAAAAATTGACACATAGATATACCTGTGTAACCCCCACTCTGATCACGAGACAGAACATTTCCAGCGCCCTAAAAGGCTCTCTGTCCCAGTCAATACCATCCCTGCCTCAAGGTAACCACTACTCTGACTTCTATCAATATTGCCAGTTTTTGATCTTCATATGAATGAAATCACACAGTTGTAGCATTTTGTTTTGGGTCTGTTTTTGAGATTTATCCAAATTGTTGCATGTAGCAGTACTTTGTTTTTGTTTATTTTTGTTGTTGTGTAGTAGTCTATTGTATGTATATTCCACAATTTATTCAATTGTTAATGGACATTTGGATTTTCCAGTTTGGGCTGTTAAGA